ATAAATATAAATTAAAAAAAAATTTTTTTAATCCAACATGGATTCCAGGCTCATGCTATGACTCAAAGTCAGAGCTAAGATTCCACTTGAAGAATATCTTATTTGTACCTAAGATACCCTGATAACATAGCACATTTTCTTTTCAGCTCTTAATCAGATTGAGAAAATAAGTAATCTCTCCCTGTAAAAATTTACAGCCTTGAAAATCCAGGGCAGGAGTTCTAAGAGCTGGAATCTGCCCAGTGGCAGTGGGTTTAGTCTTTAGTATTTAAACAAACATCAAGTGCCTCTGATTTTAGACTCTCATACAAGCACATTAGTGAAAACTAAATCAGTAGGAAAAAACCCTAAAATGACAGCCAAGTACAGATTATGCCTTTCTGTTGTGAACAGTGGGGACTTTACTTAGAGACAAGTCATCTAATGCACAAGCAATTAGGCCGTAAAGAATGCCTGAATCCTGGCTTCTTACTTCTCTTCCAGTTAACCAGACCCAAACATAGACAATTCAGTCCAAGAGTGAGGAACACCTAGAAATGTGCATTTCTTAAGAATATCAAAGTAGAAACTCTGAGTCAATTCTCCCTAAAGTAAGTGGCAATGAGTAGAAACCTTGAAACACAATGAAAACCACAGGCTATTAAAAAAGGTACCTCTCCTAATCTCTCCCATCTAAAATATGGTAAGAGACTGGAGTAGAATATAGGAAGATACATCTTATGCTAGCCCACAAATCGACAAATATGGTGGATTGATTTGAACAGAATATATTTTACTGAAGATACTAGAGACAAGCTGCACAAGGACTTTATTCTTTCTTTTATCCTATCAAAGAGTATTGATGTTCTGATTTAAAAAAATATACTGCAAAGTTCACTGACTGAACTTTTAGAGAAGACTGAAAATGATGACACTTTTACTCTCTTATTTTGGTAAGTCAGTACAATGAAAAGAATATCCTGAACCACAAAGGGAAAGGACAGTTAAAGGTATTAGGATCCAAATATTGCTAATAAAGAGAAAGCTGGAAGTGAGGTAGGCCAACAGCTGGTAACGCCATCATTTTAGTATTAATTATGACACACAACCTCATAGCTTCTTTCTAAAATTGTGGAGGTAAACACCCCACGTAGTCTCATGTTACCCGATCACATCTAAAGGCTTTGGACATCCTTTGGCGTAGACATTTTATCACTAAGAGGAGACCCACAGTATGGTTGGTTCTATCCTGAAATTATCAAGTGATGTGTTTCCAGGATGCAGGAGAAATGACCAAATGAGAATCCTACTGTATCAGTCCATGCTGAGAGCCTAATCCTATGTTTTAGACATGTCATTCCTTTCAAGACAAAACCAAGTTAATTTTTCTATGGCTACACTTTGTTGGCTGTCATAATATCTGATGTTTAGAACATCATAAATACATAGTAAAGTCAAAGATATTTCACACATGTTGCAATAGAACCTCGAATCCAAGGTGCTGCCCAGCAACATATGATACTATTCAGTCCTAAAGCACTGATTGGTTCTCACGTAAGGCTATTACATTAGAGATGTTAGAAAAGACTTTCAGTTCCTCTTTTCTGTGGCTGGAGATCTATTGCTGTCTGTAAACTATTAATGTTTTTCTATTCTCTCTCAAATTTTAGCTTCCTGTATGCTTGAGGGGATCTCCAAGAGTCTCTGAATGAAATCTGCTTGGTGACAATAAATAATGAGGAACTCAAAAATTGTTGAAGGTATTTTAAACAGAATTGTTTTGAGTCGATTGTGAATATTGCAAGTGAATCATACCTTACAACTGATAGTAATTCTTGAGGAACAGAACTTTATGAGGTCGAAAACCTGCACTAAACTTCTGCAGACATCCCAGTTCGCCTAGAGCCCTTGCAGGTGCCATCAAGTCTGCACTGAATCATAGCTCACACTCCAGTGGGTTTTCAGAGGCTTTAAAATCACATAGGAGGAGATTGCCTGTCTTTCAAAGCAGCTGGTAGATTTTAACCACTTACCTTTGGTTTGGCAGTGCAACTCCTTACTCACTAAACCACAAACATTTCTTCTAAAGCCCTGGGAGGTAGAAGGTCTTGGAAATAAGGGTTTTCTGTTGAAACTCAAGTCTCTGAAATCTAAGTTTTCACCAACTATGACTTCTGCCTAACTTCTTCCTTCCATGTTTCATAATAATAAATTTCACTGGCACACATGTGCTACATTAAGTAACAAAAAAAAAAAGAACTTAGAAAATGAAATCTTCCCCATTTCCTTTCTCTAAGATATAGAAAAGACGATAGCAAAGAAACAAAATTAAAACCAAAAAAATGGAATATATAATCATATCACTAGGGAAAATCTTTTTGAGGGTACTTGGATTATGGCTTAGAAATTAGATGCTTCTTGCATTAGATCTAGGTCAAGTCTAGAACGTCAGTAGTCAACATGTTTCTGAAGTGTGAGTTCTGACAATCTCTGCCTCTTTAACTTTCTATTCCCTTTTTATTCCCTTGCACCCAAAGATATTCTCTCCTGCTGTAGACTTAAGAGATTACTTGGAGTCTGGAGATTTGGAAAATGCTCATGTCCAAACCACCGTTTCTGGGAATAGGACCTTGGCACACTTCTGTAGATCTTAGGAATGTCTATAGAGAGCTGTGATGGTAAAAAATCTGTAGGAAGTTGTGCTGCTAATTCAAAACCCAGGTCTCTGTAGCAATTTTAATCCACCAGTAACTCCAAAGCAGAATGATGAATCTCCGCTTCTCATGTGATTTACAAATTCAGAAACCTCCCGGAGGGTCAGATGAGTCAGAACTGGCAATGAGCTGTTTTCACATAGTAGTTCTTTTCTGCCCTTAGCCTTTATGTTGCATGATGTTTTACAAGTTCATTGTTTCTCAGTGCTGCCTGATATTCCATTGTGTGGCTGTACCAGTTTTTCTAGCTATCCATTTGTTGAGGGGTACTTGAGCTGCTTCCATCTCGTTGCTATTCTGAGTAATGCTGCAGTAAACATGAAGGTGCATGCGTCTGTTTACAACACAGCTCTGGTTTCTTCAGAATATATTTTCAGTATTGGGACAACTGAGCCAAATGGAATTTCTATTTCCAAATTTTCAAGAAAGTGCCAGATTGTCTTCCATAGTGGTTGTGCCATTTTACATTCACAACAGCAGAAAATGAGAGTTCCAATCTCTCCACGTCCTTGCCAGCATTTGTTGTTTGCTACCCTGTTAAACTTTATTGTTGTTGATAACTCATTGTTGTTTTGATTTACATCTTTCTGATAGCTAGAAATTTTGACTATTTCTCTTTTTTTTCTTTTGTCTTCTTTATTTTCATGAAATTTTATAGAGACTTTGGATTTCCATTCATACATTGTTGCACACTTTCCTCGCTATCTACCCCTCCCTCCTGTTCTCTTTTCTCTTTGAAGAAAGAAAAAAAAATCTTTCATTGTTATACAATCCTCCCCCCCTCCCCCAGTGTCCACTTTACTATGCAGCTCTTATTCTGGTCTCTTGTCATAAAAATAATACCTAACCATATATTCCTTCTAAACAGTTCTCTCCCACATCTGTTTAAATGCAGTATATACTTCCCCCCCTTTTTTTGGTGGATTTTGACTATTTCTTCATGTGTTTGATAGTCATCTGAATTTCTTCTTTGTTGAAGTGTCTATTCATATCTTGTGCCCATTTTTTTAATTAGGTTGTAGGAGACCGAAAACTTGAAGATAGTTTATTTAATGAGTTGGTAGTAAATCATGATAAAGGATCTAGAGTCTAAACCTACAAAAGACTTAAGAAGAAGACAAGAAACATGAAGATAAGTAACAAGAAATGTGAAGACGAATTGCATTGGGAAACT